GTTATTCACAGGGCCGAGCGGAGTCGGGTTTGCCAGCTGGTAAACAATACTCCGTGTGTCATGCGCATTCTCATATTGTACAAATGTCTTCACTACAGGCACTCATTTGTTTTGATTCGATCAAATCATTTATTGATCTAATACCGTAACGATGCCTCTTCATTGGCCGTCTTGAAGAAAGCAGTCACATTTTCCAGGCTGTAATTATTGAGAAGCAGCTCTCGTAGACCTTCAACTTTGCCTCGAGCATTTTGTCCATTGAGTCGTGCTCGATTCAGTAGCAGCGCTTCGTAGATTCCGCAAACGTTGCTTTCCTGAATTAATTTGTGAATATAATTCAAGTTTTCACGGCTTGCTGTGCGGTATAGGATGTGTCAAAAGAAAACTTCTATAGAGTGATGTACTGCTAAACAAAGATACTGTTTTATAGTCATCCATTTTTGCGATCATACATCGTGGACATTTCGTCAACGAAAAACGACAAACTCCGCCCAATCGCAAGCCACGCCCTTTCTCTTGAGAGGGAACATAACCTTGCAGTTCTCAGATGTTGAACTCGATGCGCATAACATCGGTGGAAATACAAAATTTACGCTGGTAATTTGTTGCTAAAATCCCTATTTATGAAGGGTCATGATTTTACCCGTTAGTGAATTATAGTTTTTGTAAAAAGAATCATTTGCTTTCTGCATAGTTTTCAATAAATTCCTACACTCGATTAAGACAATAGTAGAAATGGAAGGAGAAATAAACTCTGAAGAATTTCAAATTATGACAACTTGACAATCGTTCCTGTACCTCCATAGAATCTTTTTCAGCATCTTGAAATATCTGGTCGTGATTCTCAAGTATCTTCTTATTTTGCTCTGATAGAAAGGAAATGTCGCTGCTGTTCGCTTCCAGTTCCTAAATCGTTGAAGTATCGAACATAAATGAGCCCTTCAAAAACTTACCTTCAATGCTGCTGCCATGAGTTTTCTTTTTTCCAGATTCAAAAGATGAGTCATTCGAGGATGCAATTGTTTGAGGCAATAATTTATACTGGCATCGTTGAGGTCTGAAAGTTATGAACGTAAACTGAGTGACATTGACGCAAACACTGCGCAAAGGCGTCTTCGCTGCGCGAT